AAATTTAACTAAAGCATAGGGTCAATATGTTTTGTACCTCCACGTCGCCATTGTAATGCAACAGAAACAACAACGGAATATGTATTTTATATAGTTTATCTTATAAGCACAAATATATACAGTCTGACTACATTAGATATCAGTAAGCAAGTAAGTGTCTTTGTACCCAGATCATTTTATATTTCATAGTCTTAGGAGCCTGGGAAACATGAATTGTAGATGACATAATTTCAGAATTGTGTCAGTAAGTAACTGAATTTGGGAAGAGTAAGAAAGCTAACTGCTTAAGTATCAAATCAACTATAAATAGATTGTGTAGCAATTCTAGTAAATTCTAAAACATTTAACTTCTGAAAAATCACTGGGAAAGAAATGATTGAATCCATGTGCAAATATCCTCAGGTAATAGATAAGTAAATTCAATTTTGTCCATCGGCAACTGGATTTGTCTCTATATGCCATTGAGTGAAACATGCTCGAGTGGGACGTTAAACAATATGCATAGAATAGAATTTTGGATTAGGTCGGATGGAAGATATTGCTTACTTAATCTGCTAATATTCTTTACTTTATACCAATACAAGTGTTTCAAATAAAATTTGAAAGCGTAAAAAAAATCTGACAAGTAAAGGATGAAATATTTAGCCGAAATTTACCCTATTTTTAAGCATGTTATCCGGGGTGGTACGGCAGAAATTGTGACAAAGAGTGCGGCTACTGTGACGGTAATGAGACCTGTGATCACGTGACTGGGGCGTGTCCTTCACTGTGTCAACCTGGGTATCAGCAACAAAAATTCAATGAATGTATGTATGAACATCAATTTTTATATAGGCCATTTACTTGTGCTTACAGTATAAAAAAAGCCTAAATCTCCAACTTGTTATTTCTTTAAACATTTAACATTATAAATTTATATGACTATACGTCCAAATCATTAATGTAATCAATTAAACAATATCTAATGTGTAACCTTACTAGATATAATCCATATTTCAAATTTTCATATTCTTTGTCCTTTTTCAGCCTTTTTTCATGGTTGGTATGGCAGAGAATTTAAAGAATGGTGTGGTTACTTTAGAGGAAGTTAGCCGTGTCATCACGTTGCAGAGCCCTGCTCTGGATTGTGTGAACGTGGATATTATAAAGATCAATGTGTAGACAGCCTGTTTTACCCACACTTTGCAAATTTGAGAAAAACTATTAAATTGATGAGAGAATTACTTGCATTTAAAATGCGCAGAGATGAACTGCATGAGTAAAAACAGCACATCCCCGACAGACTTCAAATGAAGGGGTAGGCTCTCTTTGTGATAGCACACAATCTTCTTATCATTCGCTTCAAATATAGTTTAGTATATGTGTAACATTTTACCATTGTATTTTAAGGTGTGTAACATTCTTTGTATTATGTAACATAATGTTTAGTTTTCCTTTTCCAAGTTTCCCTTTCACCTATAAACTACACTTATCTTCTAACATCCTTGTAACCCAAACAAAAAAAAAACTATAGTTAACTAATATTTGAAAAATGAATATATTTTTTAAACAATTTGTAAATAAAACATTTTCTTTTATAATTTCGTTCTTATGTTACTTATTTATTCTAAAGACGACTTTACATTTACAAAAGTTATTTCCCTTTGAAGGAACATTTGCACGTAGTAAGAGGGATAACTCTGATTTGTGAGTCAAGAACGACGCTGAAATGGGGAGCGAAGCGCGGCAGAAAAAATTAAGTCGCCATTTTTTACGAATACTTTTGACCCAAGCTGTACATGTAAGCAATTCAAAAGTAATGAAATAAATAAGGAGTAGAATATTCATACTGATTTATTTCTCGCTTATTGTATACCATTGTATTATTGTATACTCAAGCACTATATATAATTACGGGTTTAAGTGACAGGAAAAATATAAAATAAATGAAAAGTCCTTGTAAAAGCTATCAAAAGCCTGATCATATTTTTAATATTTGGAATATTTTCTACACCCAATACGTGGGATATGATCTTGTGAAATTGTTGTCTTGGAAAAAGTTTTGTGACTGCAACTCTGAAAAAGTAACCGAGATATCAGGGGGATCTTCCGCATTGTCAGCCCTAAGAAGTTGAAGAATGTAGACTTACTGACACTTTCTATATGAGGAGATGATCGGGCTATTAAGGGTTTTGTAGGTTTACATGGATGAAATAATCTGAACCTTGCTGAGAACGATATCCGGTCCCTATTAGCGGTAAATACTACCTTACAATACAATGGTAAATTTACTTTGTTTTAAACGTTTAAATTCAAACTTAGTCCCATGACCAATCATGGCTTCGCTATATCTGAGAAGATTTTTAAAAGAATTCTCCTATATATGTCTATGTAAAATTTTGATACACCATTTTTGCCGGGTACTACCCACGGGTTCATGATTTGAACAAACTTGAATCTACACTTCCCCATACGTTTCACATTTCCTGAAACAGTGGTTTTTGAGAAGAAGATTTTTAAATCATACCACCAAATTTTCACAAATTCCCAATTATCTCCCTTCGAATAAAGACGTGGCCCTTCATTTGAACAAACTTGATTTCCCTTCATCTAACGATACTTTGCAGCAAGTTTAATTGAAATTGGCTCAGCGTTTCTTGAGAAAAATGTGAAAACTTTACAGACAGCTAGACAGCTAGACGGACTCCGGGCAAAATATGATCAGAAAAGCTCACTTGAGCCTACGGCCAAGGTGAGCTTAAAAAAGAAAAGATGTCGATTCTGTGTGTTTGTTAGCATTAAACTCATTGATAAACTGTATTTGCTGAAAAGGATGTAACTTGCGAATTTACTACTTTAAAGGAAAGACTGCTGATATTTTTAAGGAAAGATAAGAAAAAAGTAGAATATATACATTTAGCACAAACAGATCTTCATGTATATGTTTCTCAAAACCTGAAAACACGAAAACAAACATTGACATTTGTACTAGACGTTATCCCAAGGTCTACAGGAAACGAAAAAAATAAATAAATAAGGAGACGAAAAAGCTTAAGTTTCAATGTATTTGTACGAATGGAAGGCACTGATTTGCAAAATATCAACGCTAAGTCATGCATGTCCAACATATGCTTAAAACCCATATCACCATTTTGTCCCACAACGAGTGCCGGGTTTGCAATTTTTTTTATGCTAAGAGTATCAGGATCCTGAATAGAAGATTGAGTTCAAATTACAACCGTATTTTCATTATGTATTGATTATTTCTAAGTAAAAGAGGGCATGCCATTTCTTTAAGATAAATTTGAATCCCCTTTATCCAAAAATGTTATTGCAAGTTTGGTTGAAATTTGTCTTGTGGCCCTGGAAGAAAGTCAAAAATTTGAACAGTATACAAACAGACGGAAAACAGACTAAACTTGTTTAGAAAAGTTAACTTAAGCTTCTAGCTTTAAGTGAGATTAAAGGCAATTAATGAAGGTGGGTTCCCCCTGTATTATTATTTTTTTAAAATGCTTTTTATTGCTTACATCCCTGATATGAAAAGTGATGTCTGGAATACTGTGCTAGATCTAGAGTCAGAATAATTAATAACTGTACTAAAATTAGAATCAGAATAATTAATCTTTTCTATTAAGAATAGGCAATGTATTGCAATGAATATTATTTTACTTTTCTTCATTTTTTGTATATATTTCAGTCTTAACGTTTTATATATCAACACTTTATTGAGGAAATTTACTATCTTACAGATGATTAGAAAAGTAATTTCACATTTATACTTATATATAAAAAACACAAGGCATACGTAAGAAATCACAAGAATATAAGTATTTTCCGGAAGCTTTCTCAATGATCTTGCACGAAGATCATTTTTATAGATACAAAAAAAAAACAACAAACAAACAAACAAACAAACAAGGAAGAAAGGTTAAAATAGAGGATTAACGCACAAAATGTTAACAAAAATCAAGACTTAAGAACATGAAATAGAAAGAAATGTAAACAATGCTCTTTGAATAACTGACGCTATTAAGACTTTTATATAAAAGAAATCCTAAATTCCTAAGTTAGGTTCATCACAGGAATAAGAAGCAATTCATTTCCTATTTGCATTAAGAGTTTATTTTCTTAATATGTAATGTGAATTGGTATACTAGACCAGTATTTTCATTGGTAAAAAATGACAAAGATGTTCATGCAATATTATTTCACTTAGATGTGGATTAGTGGGAAAAAACTTAATGCTTTAGAGATAGTCTTTATAAAAAAAATTAATTAAATTTTATTTTGGCTTTATGCATAAAAAAAATATGTCACAGTTTGAAATATGAAATTTTTCGCACTATCTACTCAGTTGTAAGGAAACATTAACTTGACGGGAAATTGTATTTTACTCCTTTTTCACTTCCAATTGATGCTCAGGAAAAATAAGTCCTTTTTCCAGACTATTCTTCAGAATACCCACCAGTGACATAGCGGTATACATGTAATCTAATTTATGACGTTGATAAATTCTATTTTTTTTTTAAACTTCGAAAATCTGTTGATATGAAGAAACAACCTAGTTCACATATATACAAGAAATAACCGAAGCGGTGTAGTAACATTATATGTCTTGATTCATGTATGAGATGAGAAGTATAATTATAATGATATATTTCCATAGGGCGAACTTTTAAATAATCTCTGTATCAGGCCATAGAGAATTTTCGAAACACTTCATATGAAGGGGAGGATTTTTTTTTCCACAAATATGATGTTCTTTCATGCTAGGACAGATTATCACTTCGAGATTATATTTGATGTTTTGACAAAACATGCGTTATTTCTCTGTAGAAAATGTAATTAAAACATTGATAATTAAAAGGAAAAGAATATACCTGATAAACGTGATAATAATCATCAATTTCGTCTTTATATATACAAAAAAAAATCACGTGACACTAATTATGCATTTGAACCTATTGCCTTATTCAAATAAAGAATAAGTTAGTCATGAAAATTAACTTCCTTGTTTCAATCTAGTTCGCATCTGACATCATGGACAGCAGAGTGGTGTTGTTTTGTTTTCTTGGAATACTGATTGGGAATACTGCAACTGCTTATGGTATGAACATTTTCTTTAAGTATTTTTTAATAGGACTAATTACTGTTATTTATTTTCCTTTTTACAATTCTACGATCAAAAACACCACAATAAAACAAATTCTACAAATGATCAACTGGAATAGTAATTAATTTGTGAGATCATCTCCGCAGTGGCGCAGTGGTAAGAGCATCTGTTCTAGAGTCGCGAGTAAGGATTTGATCCTTACGTCGTGGTTTCGAATCCCATTGTGAGTCGTAGAAATCGGTCCTTCGGATGAGACCGTATAAACCAAGGTCCCGTGTCGCAGTAGGTGCTGGCATGAAAAATATCCCCCCGGCTCTAAGTGCCGAGAAAAGGACAAAATGTGCAGCTCTCCATCGACAAGTGGCTGCGTCTTTATATGAATGAAAAATTCTCTTATAGTAAGAATGACAGTCACGGTGTTTTGCTATGGGTAATACGACATAACTACTTCTAAAGTTAAAAATTAAGGAAACATTCACAGAACTTTTACGAATTGATTTGAATTGAAGCTATGAAAATCATATTTCTTTTATTTAATATGTGACCTATTAATAAGTTTAACACATATTATACACCTAGTACATTTAAAACCAGCAGATATCCATTCATAGATATGCATTTGCTAATTGCAAGATTTGCTTTTAAAAAAGTCTACCCCGTGGGGATTCGGGTTATAATAGGTCCTCAGTACCCCCTTGCTTGTCGTAAAAGGCGACTAAATGGGGCGGTCTTCTGATGAGACCGTAGAAACCGAGACCCTGTGTCACAGCAGGTGTGCCATGATAAAGATACTTCCCTGCTCAAAGGCCGTAAGTGCCAAGCAAAGGCCTAAGTTTGCAGCTTTTCACCGGCAATGGTGTAAGGCCGTAAGTACTGAGTAAAGGCCTAAATTTGCAAACCTTCACCGGCAATGGTTACGTCTCCATATCAGTGAAATATTCCGGAGAGGGACGCTAAACAGTATACAATCAATCAATCAAAAAGTCTTTTCGACCTCTCTCTCTCTCTCTCTCTCTCTCTCTCTCTCCATCTTTCAACCCCTCCTCTCTTCTCTTTAAAAGTAAACAACGTATTTTAATATTATACATCGCTAGATTTTGTGCAGACCTTATTTTTGAAAATAGTACTATTTGTAAAGACGTGGAATGTCATGTTTAAACACTAAAGAATATTTATGATTTCCTTTATACATAGATATAATAATTATCTATGTGACTTCTTATCACTCTCCGAAAACATCTGCACGATTTTTTGCTGTTATGTACCCTTATCAACTTCTTTGAAATCCTAGAGTAAAAAATAAGATCGCAAAAAATAGTATAAATTAATGCCAAAATACATAATATGACTTAGCTCTAAATTATAGCTAATGTACTAAAGAAGCAAAGACTTTGGAATCCCCAACGAGGGTCTGAACAAATTAAAGAAAATAAAGATATGAAATTCTCTGATGTCGTGAATTAATGGTTATTGTGAACTAAAAGTAAAAAATAATATCATTTACATCTTTTATCGTGAATGTTTAAAGATACGTTTGGTAAACATACAAGACGAATTTGAAATTGGATTTGAAATTCAATTTCGGAACAGGTTGCCTCATCAAATAAAAAAAAAAATGCTATGATGACATAATGCTTTAACTAAGGTTTGGATATTTTTTCTACAGAATATTTTCGCTTTTATGAACAGAGAACATAGCATTAAACAAGTCGGCATGGCAGCAGTATCCGTATCCTAGAAGGCCATGGGGAGCGGATAAAGCTGTGGATGGGCGGTATTCAGACAGATCAGCTGTAGGAGGACAATGTACGATATCTGACAACAGTCAAAAAACAGCCACCTGGCGGGTGGATCTAGGAGATGTACATCGTATTCACCATATAACTATCTATACCAGGACGGACAATTTACCTTGGGGTACTGTACAAAATACTGATTAAATAAATATTTCATTATTGAAATGGAAAACTTCATTTTTTTGCATTCCGTTTCTTTCTATTAACGTTTTTCTGGGTTTGTATGCTTTAAATATGCAAATCCTTTATTTTTTTTACATTGTATAATCGCAATGTAATGTGTTAAGTATAAGTGTAACTTCTCTATTTTTTTTTTTTCAGTCAGAAGTATAATTACTTTTTAATGTTCAAATAGTTTGATATTTAGTTTCAATAACCGCCAACGTTATTTTCTGGATGAAATTTTTTAACTTAAGTCTGATCCTGTTACTTTGTTACTACAGTTGTTTATTTTGTAAAGCTTCTGAAGATAGAATGAAAGGCCTCAAGCTTTACTTGAGTTTTTCGTGATTTTCTTCTTCATAATATATATATATATATATATATATATATATATATATATATATATATATATATATATATATATATATATATATATATATATATATATATATATATATATATATATATATAATACAAAATAATATTTTAAATAACTTTTTTAGACGCAAGTAACGGTTACACAGCTCGGTTCCTTGGCTTCTCTGTTTACGTTTCAAACTCGACAAACAAAGACGATGGAATTCTATGTTTTAAGGATACAATGTACACTAGGTCCACAATACCAAACAATGTAACCATAGAGTGTGTTAAAAACGGACGATACGTCATTTATTACAATGATAGACTCCCACTAGTTCTGTACCCTGAGGAATATTCATATTACTCTTTCAGCGAGCTTTGTGAGCTTGAAGTTTATGGTAAGAACAGGAAACTAAAACATATTACACTAACAGAATCTTTTTATACGCTGACAAAGTCGTATATATTGAAAGTATACAATACACGTACCTTCAAGGACTCAATAAAGCTTTGGTTCAGCGAAATGGTTATTGAATAGAAAAATGTCAACACATACAGGTGAGGGTTTTCAAATGTAGACATTTAGTGACGGAAAACAAGAACAGGTCAATTAATCACATGTTATAATGTTTAATAAAATACTAAACCCAACCAACTGGCAATTAAAATATCCACAGGATGAAACTGAAAGTTGTATTTAATATTAATGAAATGTCAATTAATGACAGTCATGTTTGTCATCGATAACCATTTGAGATTTGGCATCGGTATTTTGTTGACTGAGTGGTTCTAATTTACTAATCCATTATAAAAATCAAACAAAAAAAAAAACTAAAAGATTGTTGCAAAAAGAGCAAAAGAGTTTCATTGTAACTTTTTTCCAGAGTTTTTGTGCAGTGATGTGTGCAAAAATGTATGCTTTTCTCTGAAACCCACAAAAAAGTTCAAAATTTCTTTCTTATGTGTAATTTATATCTTCTGGTCAATTTTCAATTAGGATGTCCTATACCAGAATTATACGGAGAAAACTGTAATATACCGTGTCCACAGAATTGTCAGGAGAGACATTGTAACATCGTTGACGGGACTTGTCTTGGATGCGTTGAAGGTTACAGGGGCTCACGATGTGAAAAAAGTTTGTATATACAGAGAGAGAGAGAGAGAGAGAGAGAGAGAGAGAGAGAGAGAGAGAGAGAGAGAGAGAGAGAGAGAGGGGGAAATTCATTGTCATATGTTCTGTTATAGAGCACTTGTACGTGTCATTATATATATCGGTACTTGAAAATAAACGATAACACTTCAATTTTGTAAACAGTTTGAATTCCTTAAGGCGCATGTGTGAATTTGCTTTTAACAATTATGTTTTGAAAACGGATTTTAATGCCGTTTTTAACGAACAACAGATTTTCCTAGTAAGACTTTTTTTTATACTTCTCAGAATGTGACAATAATAGCTATGGACTTGAGTGTAACCTAACTTGTGGTAACTGTAGCAACAGAGAACAATGTGATCACGTGAACGGAAGTTGTCCTCACGGATGCGACAAAGGGGCGCAAGGAGATAAATGTAGAGAAGGTAAAATGTTGCTCTTTTTAAGTGCGCCTTTTAAATGAGATGTCTGAAAAACTACAGCGAAGGGATATAATCATGCGCCACTTCAAAATATTTGCCGAAAATTTTACATCCGGCATCTTGATATTTAAGACCTAATAAAAAATAATAAATTACAATATTCACTTAAAAGTCTGTTAAATTTTCTTCATCTTGAAAAATTTGCTTATTCTGAATATTTTGCCTTATATGTCGGAGGATGGCACATTTTCCGAGTCATTCCGAATTTCCGCCATCAGTTGATCTTTTCAATAATATTAAGATAAGGAGAAAGGACAGGTCACGATGTTTTAATTATGCTGTTATTACCAAAGCATTTTTTAAAACTTGATTTCCTTTAATAACAGAAATGTCGTTTCTAGTCCGTTTATTCAAACACATCCCCAGAACATGATACTAAGATGTCTATGAGTTTGCGGACACACTATCTGCACATTGAATTTTTCCTCCTCTTTTTTTTTAGATATAATTTTTCTTATTTTTTCCCAAATACTCTTTGCCTTCCATCACTGAATTTATTCTACTCTCGATCAACAGTTCAATTGTTTATCAATGCACCACTTAAAACAAGCTTTTAATTGATCTCACAAATAGCATTCTTCTCCGTTGGTAACTCTCCGTTCCCAGCTCTTGAATGTTTCTTTTTATACTTCTAGTACAAAATCTATTATTGTTTTCCTCATTTATGATACATGTACCTGGAATGTCTCTTTTCTTTTAACTTTACGTGAAATATTTTTTATCTGTCTGTAAACACTACCCATTCCTCGATGATTTTTTCTACCTGTCTCATTTCATAATTTTTTTTTCCCACAAAATTACATATTGTAGACAAAAGGCTTACTAATAGACCCGTTTCAATTTTCATTTCTTTATAAGTTTTTACAAACATACTTCTGAGGAACGTATCTAATTCTTACCCATTCCGACCCATATTGCTTTTACACAAATTTATCGACAAATAATAAGGCAGACGATAAATATACAATGTATACATCATCAAGTTATAAGTATCACAGCATCAGGACAAAAAATATGAAAGGAAAAGCTATTGTTTGATAATAGTGTTCAGCCTAACTTTACAGAAATGCGAGAAAACGTGACGTGATTTGTGCGGAAGTGGCAAATATTTATGTCCCTTGACCATAGCACGTATGAATTATTGATAGTTTGATTAATATTTTATTTTTTTTTTATTGATATAAAAGTAATATTTCAAATGCCCAGTGGCAAAAAGTCAATTTCAAAATTGATTAAAAAATGAGGACTCTAAGAGTTGTCTTGTTTCAATAAACTATCGAATCTAAAAGCTGTCCTTGATCACCAATTTAATGAATATAAGGCATTACTGAGAACTTAATTTATCTAAGGGGGCGAAAGACATATTGTAACATGACTAAGTATACTTCCGTCATAAGATCATAATAAATTGTAATATATTTGATTAAAACCACATGGTTTTTGCTAGCTTGTTTGACTTCATCACTATTTATAAAAAAATATTTTAAATAGTTATAAACTTGTCCTACAATATTTACTTCAAATCTTTGTCTATGCATCTTCAAATGTAAAATCATTAAAGAATAAACTTATCCACTCGTCTTTTTCCTTTCATTGCGCGCCTAACGAGTCATTGACGTCACATGATCTGTAAGTGCATGTAGATTACAAACTGTAAAATACGGGCAGCATTATAAAGGAAAAAGGCATCATGGTCAGAAGAATGTTGGGTATTACGAGAATTAGGGAACACAAAAAATACTTTAATAAAGTTGTTGACAGAGATCTTTACGAGGGGTTATCAAAAAGTTCGTGGACTGAGGCTATAAAATTAGTACTATGTAGTTTGTGATTGTCATTGGAGGTTTCTATTGTGCTTCTGTCGTACTACCAACCTTAAACTACGGAATATTTTGCACAAAAGGGTTCGGAGATAATTTGTCTTTAATTTTCCTTCGTTTTTTCGTTAGGGGTGCTTTGAAAGAATTCTGGTATTGACAGTGTGATAAGTCAATATTTATATATACGAGGGTTGATCCAAAAGTAATGTCACAACTTTGATAAAATTGCTATAAATCGACGTAAACCAGCAAAATTATACATGATAAAAGCTCTATTCATTTTAAATCAGACCTGAAAAATTCAAAGGAATATGATGTATACCTTTCAAAATATGGGATTTTAAACAACACGCGTTTATGGTGGTCGCCGCACTAAATATAACGTCATATAACGGATACACATCGTCATAATTTTAAGCGTTTCCCCTTCGTTTCATCATCAAAAATATTTGTGATTCGCAAACACTTTCACCAATTCCACTTTCTTAAGAATTCTTGGTACCATTATACACTCACTCTTTTCATATTTAAGCACTATGTCAATTTTTTTTTGTACAGTAGCATAAGACAAAATTCACATGTCACTCTATACTCGTACGTCTGCCATTTTTGACAACGTCAGACATCATTGAACGTTTTGAACAAGGCAGAGATACTAAAACCATATGCTTGCACAATAATAACATATTAATTTAGTATAATGTAAAGCTAAAAATGGGTAGCCGAAAAGGTTTCAAATGACATACTAAAGTGCATTCATTGTTTATGTAGCAAAAGGCAACTTTAGATAAGTATGCTTTCTGTGAAATGGACTAATTGATAGTTTCATCTATAACATTAAAAGATGTTTGTCTGATTAAATTTCTTTTAAAAAATCTCTTACAGCGTGCCCCTTTGGAAGACACGGAAAGAACTGTGTAGAGTTCTGTACACAAAACTGTAGAGGAGGTTGTAACAGATTTACTGGTGCCTGTGAGTCTGGGTGTAACCCTGGATGGAAGGGAAAATTTTGTGAGAATGGTACTTCACAATTTAATCTGAAATATAAATTTTGTGTAAGGTCAAAGCTTTAAAACATCCTACTCTATAATATCTATATTTTTTTTTAAATAAAAAAAAAACTTTCAAACAATTTTTGAATTATATCGACCGTGCTAAAGGCCTTCATGAGACGTGTTTATTTAAATGCATAGCAACTCAACAACGAAAAACATATTATAACGTCACAATGAACATAACAATTGAGAGGCGATGCCATTCAATGAAATTGATCCAAAACACCTGAAAATATTGCAAGAGCACTTGTACTTGTGTTATCACAATTTTTATCATACAAAATACATAACTTGCATATGGGGTAAATTTAAAATATGATTTTAAAGTATATATGTAGGACTCCAAAGTGCGATGGGAATCCAAAGTCCGATGGTCACGCCAAAGTCCGATGGTTTGCGCCAAACCCCGATGGTTTGACACGCCAAAGTCCGTTGGTGCAGAAAGCAATTAACGTGTATGACGTCATAGTACTACTGCGCAAAAATGCGATGCCGCGCCATGCCAAGGCCCGATTGTTTAAAATAAATACAAAGAAGTATTAAATGCAAAGACTAACCCTAATCCTTTGGATATAGGTGCGAGACTAACACTTATCAGTCGAAAAATGTGCAACAACCATAAGCTATTAGGTATCTTGGATGGGTGCATGACTTATCCAATTCAGTCCAATAGTGTGGCTAACCATAAAACCTCTTGGGTAAGTTCGAAGAAACAAATTGGTGTTCAATAACTAACCTAATCAGTCGAATGGTGTACAAGGACTAACCCTAATAGCTGTGGTGGGCGAAAACAATAAGCAAAATCAGTAAAATTGTAAGCGGGACAAATACTAAATCACTGGATTCTGAATGCAGGACAACGTCCTGACGCCGGACTATTGTGACGTCATAAACGTTCATTGTTCCTTAGCACCATCAGACTTTAGCATGTCAGACCATTGCATTTTAGCGTCGCGTGTCTCATAGGAAACGAGCCATCGGACTTTAGGGTATGTAAAGACAGCGAGCCATCGGGGTTTGGCGCAGGCCATCGGGGTTTGGCGAGACCATCGAACTTTGGCGTCACCATCGCACTTTAGAGTCTTACATATATAAATGCAAATCTATGAAAATAAGGATCTCGATATCACAGAAATGTTCATAAATGCAATTTAAAGATAGAAGTGTTCATTTTTGTTCATACCAAATGGCACAAAAGTGTTCAGCTTTTTCTTCCACAGATTTTCTCTATATTGACGGTAAATGTCATTCTTATACAGTTTTTCCATGCCTATTATATTATAATCTTCTACTGTATGTACATCTGAATTAAAATGAGTAGCCGCAAGGCCATTTGTTTCCCTTCTAATTAAAGAACAAAATCAAAACATATCTTTGATATAGACTATCACCAGTTTCTCCGACATACACTATTTTTTCACACTTTTTACAAAAAATTCCATACACAACTTTCCTAGATTAAAAATTAATATAATTTAACACTTGAAAGGTGTTTCCTTTATTTTCTTCAAACTGGCTGGTTTTCACAACAAATTTACACAAAATACATTTTAGCCCCACATGTCTTACATAAATAATCCAACTCCTGTGTAATCCTTAATAGTGTGACATCCCATGTTAGATTTCTTTCACAGATTTCTATTTTTCATGTGTTTTACGATGTGCAATCAAAAATCCTCGCTATTTCGACATAAAACTTCTTTCCTAGTACATGTCTGATCTCTGTATTCTGCAGTATGTTACAAAAAAAATTCTTTCCGTGTGGATCCCCATAAATTTTGTTTCTTCCTCGGTTCTTTCAGGAAACAAAAAAAATTTCAATTTTATAGCTTTACAACGGCACGTCTTTCTTTCACAGAATGTGATGGTAATACTTTTGGACTAAATTGCAATCAGAAATGCGGGGTCTGTCTTAATAAAGAACAGTGTCATCATTTAAATGGGACATGCCCGAATGGTTGCGATAGAGGATACCAAGGAACCAGCTGTACACAAGGTAACTTATAACAAAACACGTCTGTTGTTATACATGAAAGACACTCCAATAGATACTTCACCAAATGTTAACCTTTTTATTAGCATGTCAAGGCGGGCGATACGGATACAACTGTCAGGATATGTGTAGCATCAACTGTAAAGATCCCATGAATTGTGACCCAGTATCAGGACACTGTAGTGGTATAAATCTTACTTTCCTTAAAGTTTTTATATATTATAAGTTTCAAAGAAACATTTCATCTAAATTTGTTTTTACAAGCCTTTGGATTAATTGTTTTCTATGAAAATTGCACTCAAGTAAATCAAAAAAGTGTATGAAAAAGAAATATCAGAGTGAGAATTCTACGAGACAAGAAAAAAATTCATGCATTCTTAAATGCTTTCTGCTACTCAGCATGCGATCTTTTCGGAACATATATGTTGTTAACATGAGTTTCAGCAGCAAAGACACAATAAAAGTGTGCTTGAACAATAAGTTGTAAAAAGGCTATTCTCAAATTCTTATATCTACGAACTGTTATTAAAAAAGACAACAACAACGAAGTGTTATTCATTCAATTGTCTTAACTTCTAAAGCATTTACGATGTACGTTTAGCGCAGTGGTCTTTACTAGGATCGCGAAGTAAGGAATTGATCCTTACGTCGAGGGTTTGAATCTCACTCTGGGAAGAGGAAACTGCTTCTTTGTTTGAGACCTTGTATGCAGAGGTCAAATGTCCCTTGCACAAGCAAAAACTTCCTCACTGCGCAAGGTCAGTAAATGTAGGGAGTTTAGGAAAAAATAGAGCTGTGCACTGGCAAGTTGTGGCCTCTCAATATGAATAAAAAATTTTTGGGGAGATGAAACAGTGAAGACAAACAAACATAATACATTTTTCCTTAAATCAAACACTGTGAAATATAATGCCACACTGATCTATTTCAAATTCAATACAAAACTTTTATCTAAAATTATATGTTTTCGTAAGCCACGTAAAAAGTATCTGAAATGCTAATGATGCAATTAAATATCGATCCCTGAATTGCTTACGTGAAACCGTTATATTTCTACTATTTTCAGCCTGTTTTCACGGTTGGTATGGTAGAGAATGTAAAGAACGATGCGGATACTGTAGAGGAAACGAACAATGTCATCACGTGACAGGTTCCTGCTCTGGATTGTGTGAACCTGGATATTCTGGAGATCAGTGCTTAGACAGTGTGTTTTCTCAACACATTGCAAATCAGAGAGCAATGATTAAATTAATGAGAAAATTCCTTGCTTTTAAATTGCGCAGAGGTCAAATGAGAGAAAACGGCACTTCCCCGACAGACTTTTAATAAAGGGGAAATACTCCCTATGTGATAGAACTTCATCTTCTGATTATTTACTTGAAATATATTTTAGTACATCTGTAACATTTCTTGTATTTGTATAATAATGTTAAGTTTACCTTTCCCATCTTTCCTTTGACCTAAAAACTACATTTGTCATCTTACATCCTTTTACAACAGCTCAAGCAAACCTACAATGATCTTTAACTGCTATAACATTTACTTTCATATACTTCCTATAACTAACCGTCTTTCTTGAATAATGAGTATATTTTTCTAAAGATTGGGCTAAACAATGTGTGGATAAAAACATTTTTTTTTAATTTTTTTTTCATTGAATTCCTTGTTATGTCATTGATATTCTGAGAATGGGGTATTTTGATGAAGTAAAAAGGTCTTTATTTATGATTTTTTTCTGTTTTATTTACATATTTCCCCATACAATTTTGTTACGGGAAAATGGACAAGAATAAGGTTTAATAATGAATTTTTAATCAGAATCTATTTTTGGTACACACATGTAGGCTCTTCAAAGGTAATGATTGATTGATTGATTGATTGATTGATTGTATACTGTTTAACGTCCATCTCCAGAATATTTCACTGATATGGAGACGTCACCATTGCCGCTGAAGGGCTGCAAATTTAGGCCTATGCTCGGCACTTACGGACTTTAAGCAAGGAAGGATCTTTATCGTGCCACACCTGCTGTAACACGGGACCTCGGTTTATACGGTCTCATCCGAAGGTCCGCCCCATTTAGTCGCCTTTTAATCATCACAATAAACTTCTGTAAAATGAATAAATATATATATCATATAAAATAAAAGTCAATATTTAGCATATTTACCTCAGAAAAAGATTGTTGTGGATAAAACAACATGTGACATGATAAATTGTATCATTGTTGCGGTGTTTTTTTTTTTTAAAGATCAGTGTGAGTTTATTGATACATCTTGGTTAATTGTGAAAAACCGTTATCTATCAAGGGAGAAAAAGTCTATGTATTGATGAAACAATTATAATAAATGACCCACGACCTTTCACTTAATTTGCTAAAAATGAATAAAGTAGCTAACTTTAAAAACAGAGAACAAACTGGAGAAGACATGGTAAAGGTATACTTCCCTTACATAAACATTCGAGTGTTAAATCCAACATGGAATTAACACAGCGCATTTTTAAATGATTTTGTTTTTAATTCTCATTAACTTGAAGCGTAAAAATCCCAACACAATTTAATACAAGTGATCTTTTTTTATTAATTCCAACATCAAAACACGCATCAACTTATTTTGAGAATCCCTGCACATCTCGGTCAGAAGAGTGTTTTTTTTCCATTCGGACGGTATTCCTTCAACGTTTAAATTGCCCATTTTGGCGTTTTAAGGAGTGTTTAGATTAACCGTCATAAAAATGTTAAATGATAATTTCGCTTTGCACCGAAAATTGCATTTGCATATATCACAACTGTCATTCAAGGCGTTGAAACTTGAATGGGCGAAACATAAGAAATACAGCGCTATTCCTTTTCGAATCATGTCTCAGCTATGTTAAGGACTGATATGGAAAATGTTACCTTTGCTCCGGTTTAATCTGTATTACTTCTTTTAAAAAATTGTAACAAAGCAACTGAATTCTTGTAGAAAATGTAATATTGCTATCAATAATGGATAGGACTGGATCGTAGTTATTACCAGTTATATCGCACGTATCAGCTGTTTGTCACGTGACTTGTATAAAAATAAAATTGTTAAGCCGAATGTAGGAATTGGGGATAGTACAAGGTCATACGCTTGTTTTTCAAGAAAAAAATTGCTGCACATTAAAAGAGGTTTATTTCCTCTACCCAAAAAGTGCTGGGAGCTAGTCAGTGCTGTTTGCGAAGTACTTAAAATGTTGCCGAAAATGCTTATAATAGCTAAAAATTTCCACTTCGCTTAAATTCTGTTATAATTAAAATTAATGTTATGCAGACCAGGATCAGCTCCCAGCACTTTTCGAAATATACACTATATAAGCAATAAATGTTCCAAACTTCAGCTCAAACAAAATAGTCTATGCCCTTGCACTTTTGATGTAAATCACGAATACGCTCATCGTTTTAGCGATATTCTCTACATTCCTTATCCATGTGCAGCTTCAATGCTGCTAGAAAAATTCATATTCTATACACAGTGTATTTAATAAATTATTTTCTTTAAGTTTTAATGATTAGGTCTTAAAATAAGCAATGGTATCATATCTATTTACGCATTCTTGTAATTATTAAACCAGTGAATCTAGTCCTCTGGATCACCTGTGCTGCATCATGTCAAGGCTGATGACGTCATATTTGACGAAAGGCTTTCTTCTATTACTCGACTGTATTGCTATCAAGCATTGCAATTTCACAAGATTTTATTCAATAATCAATAAAATAAATAAATTCAAGTTGTTATTTACGCATGATCATGTCGTTATTTAATTTTTGTGGCTTGTTAAATTTTAATGACGTCACAATTAAACTTCAAATACGATGTACAAGGAATATGAACTCTGACCTTCCTTAACATAGCTGGGTGTGCTACGTTTTAAATGGTCATATAACATTAAATGATTACATTTTGATAGATCAAGGCTAACTCACTGCGTGAGAATACAGTTGAATTACGTGCTATTATTTAACATGAAAGTGATAGATTATGGGTTATTCAGTTCCTGGGAACGATGAATCAAAACATATAGAGTACCCTTTTAACTCGTGCATCTTCAGACATCAGACTCGGGTGACAAGCCCCCACGTCTGATAGCTGAAGACACCTAGTTAAAACACACTAAAATCAATCAACAATTGGTTGCTATGTGTTAATGTTATTTTGGCAACATGACTTAAGGTTTGAAAAAAAATGGCATTTTTAATATGTTTAGAGCCCCAAAGTTAACATTTGCGGCAAAACGATCAATTGTCTATGAGTGTACATGTACCTGTTGAAGGCATGGTCTTTTAAATGCATGAAAAACATGTTTGGTAAATTAATTATTACATACGTAAACATAACTATGGTAAACGTTTATGATTGATATTTAGTAAACGTTAAAATGACTTTTGATTTTAACTATTATCAAATCTCTAATGTTTTTGGGAAAGGTACCCTTAAATGTATAAATTGGAAAACGTTTATGCTTGATTTTTATTAACGGTATCAATATTAAACATGACTTTTAAAATTGACTATTATCCAATTCTAACTGGATGCAAAAAGCTGACACACAAGTCTAAATTTGATTAAAAGTCTACAAAATATTTCTTCGTAGTAACCATAGCGACAGTGCTGTTTTTTTAATCAAATTTTATCAATATATGACACCCGACTCTAATTCTACCAGATAAGTACTATTCAAGTTGAGTCATATATTTTTCTTGATTGAATGGAAAGAAAATTCTTAATGCAGCAAAAAAAAAAAAAAAAATCACCTTTAACAACTTCGCAGCACAGTTAAGGTTACAGTAAGGGGGCGGAGCCTAATTTGTACGGGAAATGTTTACTATGACGTCACATATGATATAAGGTCTTCAAAATACCACAAAATTAAATTTTAATTATTTCAAACAGCTCGATAGCTGTATACTAAGCTACATAAAAACTTACCTTTACATGCAGTTTGGTCGTTTGTTAAATCCCACACAACAGTATATAAACGATACATCGATTGCAACGCACTTGTCAATGTGAAATCATCTCGCAAAAATGACGCAGTTTTTACACAGTGAGAGGCTGATCAAGTCACATTTTGTACAATGAAAAATGTCTTTTGTTCTCAAATAAAATATTATTTGCAGTAAAATGAAAAGCTGTTAACTTGGATGCGATGTCAGCTTTAGTATTTTATTTATAAACTGTACGTGCATTCTTCAGACAAGCGATACTGTCGTGTGTTTGTATGCAGATTCATTGAAAAAGTAATGGAAGGGCCCTAATAAATAGATTTATTGCAAGGGCATACCCCCAATGTATCTTGTCAAAACCTTACACATAAACTCAAGAAGCATTAAGATAAGTTTAAAAGCAAATATCGCGAATCTTATGAGAAATTCATATGGAGTTCAGTAGATTAAACAGGTACGCTAATTTATTTTCATTGATTATATTCTCTTTCGTAGACAGTCAGCTATATACGTATGCCGGTCGGTCTTTCCTCTGTCATTCGTGAAAAAAAAATAATGCAGCAGAACAACAATAACCGGGATATTTCAAAACATAAAATCTGTACAAATGGAAAGTTTGCCTTCTGACAAACTTGGAAAGTGCTGCTAGAATCCCGCGTTAAGCATGGTTTTACGATAAATCTCGGTTCATACGCATAAAATTGAAAAAAAGGGTAACGTTTCATGGGAATGTTTTACTGACAGGACAGTAGGATTCTAGCAGCAGTTTTTTTGGCAAAATAGATGTTTTTCAACTATATTACTTACTCAAAGAAATTATTAAACTCCGAAATATTGTTGTTCTGTAAGCCTTTTTATTTTAGAAAATTTCATTATTAATAGATTTCATGTGATGTCGTGGTGTTGGTGCATGTCTTTGCGTTAGACATCTTGTATCTGTATGCTATAGTTATTAAAAGTTTACGTTTATCAACGGTTTTGGTAATCTATCAAACTAATTGTTTTTTAAAATGTCTTAATTTTCCGAGAAATGACTTATATGCTTCCTTAGCATACCTGCGTTACCATAACAACAATGAAAGTTATCAATAGAATAATATCGCTTACATCTATCTCCTTAGGATCAAACATTTCCATTTTTTAGTTGATTGAGATTGAGCATGTAAATAATACAAAAAGTTATTTCTGTTCTTTATTTCAGCAAAGTTCAGATTATAAAAATGTTTTCAAAATGAACCCTTGATTACCACTTACTAAGAGATATATTCTAATTGGTTTCTGTTCAGTGTGAGTTGCAACAAGGTGGTGTCATGTTTTGTGAGAATTGTTTGTTTTGTTTTTTTCTTGATTTTTATTTAGGCTCAGTAATGATTTAAAATAGCTAAAAATATTATTTTTTCTCGCCTGTTATCCTGGCAACTTAGACACAGCAACGAATATTTATTATTTGAAATATGTTTCTGGTGTTAAGTTCTAAGGATGGGCGAAGTTTCATCAAAACCGAAATTTAAGTGGGTACAGAGAATTGCTCTTAAATTTCATTTATTTTCAATAAAAAAATACAACTAATTTTTCAAAATTTCACAAGACCAATAAAGGACCAAAGTGAACCCTTTTCTTTAATAATTACACACCAATGGGTTTTCTTTAAGTTTGATTGTATGTTTTGTAGAAAAGTGTAGGACAAATACCAAGGTCGGCAAGACGTTTGGGGATAGGAAAGAGTTGGCGTTAACTGGTAAATGTATTAAACGCTAATTATATGGGAAATGTTATAGCTTAATATGAACTGTCTTCTGATGGCCATATATATAGATCACGTTTAAAATTATCCCCTTAAGCCTAGGTATAACTTTCTATACAAATGATCTTATTAAAAGCCTTAAATTATATGTCTTATTTAAAATAAGTTTAAGTTGTTTATTAAATAGGTATTAAGTACATATAGTATGTTATATAAAAGCTAGTGTAAATAATCATTATCTTTTATTTCAGATAATAAAATTATAAGAACAATCAAAACATGTAATCGTCTTCGGAAGAGCATTCCATATTTTCAAATAAATAATGAGAAATATTACGACGAATATTTTAAGAATAAACAGACTAGCAAACTGGCTTTATCATTAGAAAGTCGAATTGTCAATATCGGGGTTGTGGCCTTAATCCCTGGAGTTGATGCCTTCACATTCTTCCCAGAAAATAAATCTTTGCAATACTTTGGGATAGTATGCTTAGGCCCTTATAATCGTTTGTACCTTGTACACTACGCGAAAATATTTGGTCATTGATTAAAAAGACACTAGCAAAAATAATATTATTGATAATAATGATAAAGTTTAATTACATGTACATGTATTAACTTAAAAAAAATATTTCAGCAAGTCATCTGGGAGAACCATTGTAATGTACACTACAACAAGTTATAGATTTATTGGTAATACCGACCAGATACAGTTTTCTACTACGGCAGCGCACACAGTTACATCAACATCTACTTTTGGTTCTTTCACTGATGAACCTTACATCGAATTCGCCATCACAGCAACCATCAGTCCTGGTTAGTTGTAGGATCCTTTATACATCATCAAAGCAAACTCGATGAATTTTCAGATAATTATTAGTATATGATATACATGTATAAATTTACTACTCAATAAAGTTTATACAATGGATAATACCAGATACTGATTTTCCTGATTTATTCTAATTTATGAATGCTACATAGAGAAAAATAGTTCACAAGGACGACAACGGTGTAGACTTAAAATATCCACTTTAACTTTATGGTTCCTTGTTCTTTTTAAAGGAAAAGGATATTGCAATTAAGTGATGTTTTAAAGCAATGAGTAGGAAAGAAATTTGTGTTTTACGTCCTTCTTGAGAATTTTTCACTCATATGAGACTCTTCAACCTGCCTTGACTTATTCTGAACCGTTGAGCAGTTGGTATCTTGTTCGTACTTACAATTGCTGCTACACGGCATATCACTTTAGTCTGATTGATCTGAAAAAAAAGTCTTCAGGTCCGATAAAGAACCTACAATTGACTTTACCATATAAGTGTACAGTGTACAGTAAAAATCACCTATAAAGACTGCAAACAGCGTCGTGTCGTCGTCAGCATGCTCCAACTTGTGTTAAATTAATTTTAATTGGAATGAAAAAATGGAGTCAATTCAATAAGAATTCGATGTTATATTCAATAACTATTGTTGTTGACCGGTCATGGTAACCTAGTGGTAGAGCGTTCCCTTCGTGATTGGAAGGCCGAATATAAGTTAAGGATTCTCAAATGGACGTGGAAAAAAACAATAAGTCAATAGCTAATGATATTCGTCTGAGTCATTTTTATTTAATTAAAAAACAAAAAAATTGCGTTTATTTCTGCGACAAACCTCATGAAAATAAAAAAAGAAGAAAAACAAGATTTTTTTTTCTTTCTTTATCGATGTTACCTTTTACTTAATATATTATTAATTAAACGGACAAATAAAGAGAATTGACATATATTGCAGCTTGTAAAGTAGGGTCATATGGAGAAAACTGTGCACTTGTTTGCAACGATACATGTATTGGTTGTGACAGAGCAAATGGAATTTGTGACAGCGGCTTTCATCCTGGTTGGAAAGGAAAATTCTGTGATGAAGGTACAATATTGAGCATTTAGCTAAAATGTAATTGAATAATTAAATTTTATTATTATTGAAGAAAATGGTTAAAATCAGTGTAATCTGAAAATCTCCAGAAACAGACACAGGGTTATATATCAGTAATAGGTATTCTTTATATTTATTTTTTTCCAAATTGAAACATTCATTGCAAAAATTACAACTATGGCGCCAACACGTATGGCGCAATTTGAAAATTATATGTTGTACCAAAAGGTCACGTCGAACTTTGCTTTTCAAAACTAGTTAAGAGTTTCAAATGTTCTTTGCAAGTCTTTGCAGTGAATAAGTGATAGATTTATGTAAGTTAATATAAGTTATTACAATTTGTTTCTGAATCATGTTTGTAATATATAATCTGTATACATGTATATGGTGTCTAATCTAAATGAAATAAATTTTAATCTAATGGATTTAGTTTTCAATTATAATTCTTGAAGAATGAAAAAAAGAATGATAACTTCTAAAATTAACCTTTTTTATTTTTTTTTTTATTTTATACGGTATTAATTTAATTTTACTTATATGAAAAAACATATTCAGAATGTGACTTGGGATTACACGGGGAGGATTGTAGCATGCAATGCGGACATTGTTTGGAGTCCCTTCCATGTCATGCAATTAACGGATCGTGCTTACATGGATGTGCTGCAGGCTATGAAGGGTTTCTGTGTAACAAAAGTAAATTGAATTTCATTCAAACTCGTCTGAAATATATACCGGAGATGCGTGTAAAGATAACCTTTTCTCTCAACTACTTGAAAACCAGAAGAAAATGCTGAACTTGATGGTGGAACTTATTTCTTATAGAAGAGGAAAAATTGAGATGAAAGGAAATTTCACTTCTCCAACTGACTTTAGATAATAGGAAAGGGTTTAAAGACGCCAAAAAAATAAATTATTTATAAAAGAATTTCTTTAAGCATGATGTTCTCAAGTTATGATTATAAATCTATGTGTATCGTATACATGTTTTAATGTACAGTAGTCTTTATAGTTATATTTCTATATACTTATTAACTGAATCATAAAGCGACGAACAATATATTTTTATGTTTGCATGTTACATCAGTTGACTAATATATTAACGATTAAGCCTTCTCTTGCATTAAATTTAAGCTCACATGAACCTAACGCTTATGTTTGTTCAAATCATTACCTCAACGGTTAGGATGGGACCAGATGAGTGGTAAAATTTTTCATAGGAAAAAAAGTTTAAGTTTTTTCTTGAGAACAGCAAAGCTGATTTGGAATATAATCATAAAATATGATTAACATTATTTATATAATATATAGCTTCAATGTGTTGAGTAAAAAGGCAATCCATGTAATGACAAGTCAACTATCTTACCAACTAAGACACCTTTGATCTTCAGTTTTACATTGATCAGCATAGTATTCTTTATAAATTATAAACGTATCTTATACATGCCACTTCAGCGTATAATAACATAGAATTGAAATTAATTTCTGCAAATTCACAATAAAAAGGAAAATAACTTTAAATAATGGATTTGATCTTCAGCATTTATGTTCTTTACCCCCGTTATCAACGATTCAGAGACATATAGATTTTGTTCTATTCGTCTGTCTGATTGTGTGTTTGTTCGTTTGTCTCCAAAATCTTTCTCATAACTTTTGATTGGATGAGGCTATGGCATTCTTATTTCATATGTGTATTTGTAATGGCAATACCTTTAATTTTGATATTATTAACCTTGATTTAGGAATTTGACGCATATCTACCAAAAGAATGCCAAAGTTTAACCATGTGTTATCATTTATTTTGAGATTGTTTTGAACAGTTGGTGCTGGGTCTTTCATACTTCAAATGTGCATTCATTGTGACAGGGCCTTCTTTGGGATACTTACAATATTAACCATTCTTCGTGAAAATAGTTTTCAGTGGATATCACCAACTTTGACATATTGACGTTCTTTTATATATAACAAACTTGACATCTCGACTCAGGAGTTTGACCAATTTTTACAAAAAAAAATCCCAGAGTTTAAACTGGCTATATATGTTGACCATTTGGTGCCAGAACTTTCAAATTTCACATTTGTATTCACTGTGACTAGGCGATCCTTGGGATACCAGCAATTTTGACTTTTTGATCTTTGAAGTTTGACGTGCATCTTACAAAATTCAAATACTCGCCATACGATGTTTCACATACACATCCTTTCCATTTCATACTTTTAAATTATATTCAAGATTGCATTACGATATTTTCCTGCACTGTCAAACAAACCCCGCACATGTACCTAAATTTATCTTAACCCTATGACGGCTTTCAAATCTAAACCTATGCAAACACAACGTAACTCAGAAATTTAAACTGATCGATTATTGTTACAATTTACTTCCTGGATTAAAATCATCCATAATCAAACAAGATGATCAGTGAAATTGGACTGCTTTGTTGTTTTGGTGGAATAATATTAACTGTAAAACATGTTTCTGCATATGGTAAGAGACTCATTTGTATATAAATCTTTCTCGCTCTCTCTTTCGTAATACACACACATACTCTCTCTCTCTCGAAAGCGAATAAATGAATACCTTTAATTTATTTATCTGAGTGTCAGTAAAGGTAACATTGTTTTGTAAATAGTCACCAAACAAGATATCCCTAATGTTCAACAATCTTACAGCATTTAACTCTCAAGTTGAAATATATAAATGTTCCTTTTGAAAATTATGCCCATTGCTTCGCGCATTTTCTGACCTTTTAAGAAACAATGTTAAGAGTAAGTCTGCGTTCACCACGAAAAAACATCTTGTATATTTTAGGATAGTATAGTTAGTATAGTATAGTATAGTATTAGTATAGTATTCCAGGGACATCAAAGATAGTAGGAAACATGGCATAATTTGCGTAACGGGTGAAGCCCTTTATGCATAAATTATCCCATGTTTTCCACTATCGTTGATGAACCTGGCATACTATACTAACTAGACACTGATTCATATATATTTCCATTTCATTGTGAAAAAATTGTAGATTAAGACTTAAAAAATGAAGACATAGATTTGAATAACACGAGGAATCCCATGCCAATTTCAATACTCCTCGACCACTGACGTCAAAAACAAAAAGAGCCGCACGAGATATACATGCATATTTGGCCTCCTTAGCGTCAGACACAGAGACAAATATGCACAAGAATATCATGCATATTAGGCCTCTCTATCTCTTGATCTATTGATTTATACCTTATTTATATTACGGTAGAATTATCCGATAACTTTCGAAGTGAAAAACTTGAAAACTTCCATGGTGAATAAAATTGGACATATTCAATCTAACACCCACACACAAACATTTTAAGTCGCTGGGTTTCCGAGGGTTTTTTTTTTATTATTAATTTTTTTCCTCGCTTGTCAAAATTTTCTAGAGAATAAAATGAATAAATCCTTGATCGTTTTGAAAATAAATTATCTGTTTTGGCTGGCATGAAAATCAATATATATGTGTACTCCAATTCGAAATATTTTGCCCCCCCCCCCGTCCTGCCTCAATGAAAAAGATAGGGTGTTACCTCTTTATATGCGTGATTTTGCGTCACAAGTAGGAAATGGTATACGCGTCAAAATAAGTGACCGCGGGGAAGGGGGTTAAATATAATCAAATTATTCTTTAAACTGCAAAAGATTGGAACGGAAAAACCAATACTTAATTTCAAACCAGGTTTCTTGAAATTGTAATATTTATCTCCTTTACTTACTTGTACATGTACTTCTAGAAACCTGACCTCAGAATGACTAAAAACAATTTCTACAGTTTCTGAAATTTCAGGGTTATTGTACTAATGCAAGATCTGACCAAAACTCCTAGTAAAAAAGTTGAGGACAAACTGTACTTTTTAATTCTTTTTTTAGATATGTCTTTTTAAAAACATTTTACAGAAAAAAAGAGCATGTCTTTCATTAATTATAAATACATGTATTATGTGGCGAAATGATTAGCTCCATAATTATCGAGGTTCCCTATACAACACAGGGGAGTTTCTCGTCGATCAATATTTATTAAAACATTTTTATTCTTCTAAGCATAGCAAAACTTCTATGCTATAATGTTTTAGAATGATTTATCTTGATCATACAAACACAATTGCAGACCTTGAATCAAATACCTATTCTTTTATGACTAAGAGACAAAGGGAGAGCATTTAGTATATAGATAAAATTAAGATTCCATTGGACAGCAAATTTTCATTTTTACTTACAGAAAATATAGCACTTAACAAGCCTGCCTGGCAGCCATATCCATATCATGGTCATCTGTGGGGAGCAGATAAAGCGGTGGATGGGCGATATTCAAACCGGACATATAGAGGAGGACAATGTACGATCTCTGACAATGAAAAATAAATTGCCACATGGCGGGTGGATCTTGGAGGAATATTTAGTATACATCATATTACCATTTACTACAGGACGCATGAAGTAGCGTGGGGTACTATATAAACAGCTAAATGATTTTTTTTAATTCTGTTTACTCCTCACCCAAACAATTGAGGATATTCGTTTACTCCTATACAAACCTAAACTCATTTCACTATGAAAATATTCCCTTCTGTTATGATTAAAGTTTCCGTCTGAAACCAACATAAAAATAGCTACCAGAACTGTGCTGCACGTAAAGAACTATAGATATCGGAAAAATTGTACAAAAGAAATAAATTGTATGGTTTAGTATAAACCTCCGTAAAAATAACAAAGCATTAAATCTGCTGCCCTAAGAGCATTTATATACATGTATATATATATGTTTAAAAATGTTTTAGATTAATAAATGTTTAATTCAAAATGTTTACTTAGCTTAAACTTTTAACATAGCGAAAAACCAAGTCTCAAAACGAGGGCAATAAACTTACGTGTAAAAACAGGTGTATCCGGAATGAAATCTATACATATGTTTGAACAATTATTTTGCAACATGCATTCACAGAACTCATTCGCTTCAAGAGTTCCTGCTAAATTATTAGAAAAGATACAAAAGACAAGGAATAATTGTCCCGTACCACGGGATACATTGAATACAGATGAAACAAATGTCACAGGGTCACGGTCTTGTTTGAAAAATTCAGAACAAAACTGGTTCGGTCGTTTTACAATTTATTGATGGATATAGAGAAAAACCTAGAAAATAGAAAAACACTCTCACAACACTCATACAAAACAATGTACACATAGACAAACACGAAACAAAGACATTTACGAAAAGTATTAATTAATAGATATTTAACAGGTTTAACCGACTGCCAGTAGATCGTTACATAAATTAAACAAGTAAATGAATTACAAGATAAATGAATATCTTACCAGGCATTCAGTATCAAATCAGAAAAATATAATATACAGTACATCGATTGAATCGATCTGTGGCAATATTCTAAGCAATCTGCTACCGTAAAGGCTGTAGAGCTTGGGGTGGGGATTTGGCGGGTTTCTTACTTTATATAGTGCACGGGTTAGTAAAACATGCATATTAATTAGTATAACGAAATCCATTGGTCCATGGTAGGTCATTGGTCAGTCATACGTAAAGGAAATGCTAAAAATAGAAATTCACCTGTACAAAACTAAACACTCGCACATGGCTCTCACATACCTGCAAAACCGGTTGTATTCGATTGGCTATGCGCGCCAATCAGAATACGTACTTATATTGCGCAAAGCATTAAAGTAAATATTTAATAATAATTATAATTTAATTACAACTGTGACATTCTCCCCTGCTAGGGAAAATGGCTCCTGACATTTTAAATAACTGAAGCAAATAACAATGTCCATGTAGCATTGTACAGACAAAGTATTATA